ATGCAAATAAGTATGATAAGATAAATCACAGAATATATTTCTTAATAAACTTAATATTGATATTATTATAAATTTAATCAAATTTAAGAAAGTTTGACGTGGTTCAAACCTAGAAGTGTAATATTTTTTAAATGGAGGGAGTATATACTACTCTGATTATGGACTTTAAACAGCAGTGGATAGTGGTCGGTAGACAAATGGCTTGATCCTCTGTTTTAGTACGTGTATTAGGACTTTATGTCAATCTTTATAGATTTAAATGGACAATTAGTGAAGTTATGCACACATAGTTAACGTATAATAGTTATAGAATTACATTTATATTTTAAATGTTTTTGAAAATTATACTAATTTTGTAATCATTCGTCATATATTATTGGAGAAATAGGCTATATCTGAACAACCCCTAAATCTCTATATAAATTAAGCCATTATGATAGATAGCCTAAAATAACCATGTATTCTTCATCTAAACTATCATTATGAAAAATAATCTCACATAACCCTCTAAAATTTCTATCTAAACTAGCAAACTGCACATTGCAACTTGCAACGGAACATACACCTTGTTGCGCGAAACTGGGCGACTTGTGGCTCAAAGATTTATAGCGACTTATCTTTAACCATGATAAGGCTATATAATTTGTTGGCGTTTGCTTCGTTTGGGTAGCGAGTTGCACAATATTATGCATGTGATCAATTTCTTGCGGTAGCGGCATGACTGTATATGATGTTTGAATGCCCACATAAAAGGTATCTAGATTACCACACCGGAGATTTGACATTACCATGTCATGGTAAAATTTTAGGGTGTCCAAATTAAGATAATTTGTGGTTAGGGTTAAATTCAGAGGTCGGCGCTATGATTCACGGCACTGAGCTTGGCGCCATGATGCCGTGAATCGTGGCGCCAACCTTTGGCCACGTCACCAACCACGCCATTCCGGACCTTCTACCTCGGTGCCAAGACCTATGGCGCTGAGACGTGTTACCTCGATGCCGCTACGAGCTTAGAGTCTAAAGATGAGTTTTTGACGTTCAGGGGTATAAATGTCAAATTTTGGTAAAAAAGCTAAACTGCAAAGATTAAATATTAATATTTTCTTGTATATATTTGGTTAAAGTTAAGTATGTTTGAGTTTTAGTTGTCCTTTAATGATTGTTATATCTGACCTGAACCCACTTATCAACATTTCCTATAAGATTACCCTGGCTGGTGGCACCATTGGAGGATGAGAGTAGCAAAGACAGAAGCATCATTAACTTTTTAATCTATTAATTTTATCTATGAGAATGCTGAGCCCTAAAAAGCAAATGTAAGATATTCCATGCCATGTTGCCAACAAAAACATCCAACCGTTGGATGACCATCTGATTGTTTAGGTTCTCCAACAAAGGAATATCAACATGCATCCAAACTGCCTGTAAAAAAAATCCAAACTTCTAAAAATAATGTTGTAAAAAAAAACTTCTAAAAAGAATAATGTCCACTCCACTATTCAGCCAAAGTGTCGAAAGATGACTTTTCTTCTCCTGGTGCCCCACATGCACAGCTTTCTTCTCCCATCTGCCCACACCAACTGTGCACAATCATCTTGCTTCTTCCAATCCTGACTTCCTGAGTGAAAGAGAAGATTAAATCCATCTGGTGCCATCTCCGCTTACTCTCTGTTAGCATGATGTAATTAGGCCCATGATAGTGAATGTGATTAGGCCCATGCGGTAGGCTTGTACGCCACCCTAGCTGCCTATATGTAATCCCCTGTACTCATACATGGTATATGATCAATCATTCACAACTTACATGGTATCAAAGAGCGGTTACGATCCGCTAATTCCGCTTCCGCAACCCTGACTCGCGCGCGCCGCCGAGCAGCTCGCCGTTCCCTGGCCGCCGTTCACCACGCCCGGAACGTCGCCGACCTGCTCGCCGCGTCCTCGATCGCCCCGACCCCTGGTCCGGTCGCTGATCCACCCTCGTTGCGCGGCCTCCCGCCGCCTCGCGCTCTCACGTGCGCGGCCGCCCCGCCGTCTCCATGGCGGGAGATGACTCCGAAACTGCCGCAGCGGCGGCCAAAGAAGCCGCAGCTCGCCGCCTCGCCGAGGAACGCGCCGCCGAGGAACGCGCCGAAGCTGCGCGCCGTGCCGAGGAGGCACGCCTCCGCGCCGACGCCCTGGAGAAGTACGAGGCCAGCCATGAGGCTGTCTGGGCGCAGGCCACTGCCGTCGTCAACGTCAAAGCGCTGATCCCTATCATCCTCGACAAGGCCACCGGCACGTACACCAAGTGGCGCGGCATGTTTCTCACTGTGCTCGGCAAGTATGCCCTGACACCGCACGTCCTCGACGACGAAGCCCTCCCTGACCGCCCCGTATGGGTCCAGGTGGACTGCGTCGTGCTGTCTTGGATCTTCGGCACAGTCGCTCATGATCCGGCAACGCCGCGCGCGTGAGGCGTGGTGCTATCTCGAGGATGAATTCCTTGGCCAGAAGGAGTCACGTGCCCTCCTCCTGGAGACGCAATTCCGCAACCTCCGTCAAGACTCCATGACGGTCACCGACTACTGCCGCAAACTGGAGACCATGGCTGCATCTCTTGCCGAGTTCGGTGATCCTATTGGTGACCGCCAGATGGTGCTCACCCTTCTTCGCGGGCTCAACGGCAAGTTCCGCCACATGGTGTCTATCCTCAAGATGCATCGCCCGTTTCCGTCCTTCGCCGACGCTCGCACACATTTGCTACTTGAGGAGATCGACATCGACGCCGCCCACCGCCTCCGCCTCGCCCCTCGCCGCCAACACGCCACGCCGGCGCTTCCTCCACGCCAAGGGCGCTGCGCGCCCTCTCTGCTCTGCCCGTCCTCCCAGCCACCAAAAAGGCGCCACCTGGTGGTCAACAAAAGTGGTCGTCAGGCCGTCGGCCTTCGGCGGCAGGGCGGCGGGCGCGGCCAGGTCCGAACCAAAGACCAGCGAAGCAGACACCGCCTCGGCTGGCTCGGTGGTGCGCCTCCAACCGCATACCTGGCTGGCACCCTGCAGATGTGGCCGTACGGCCGCCAGCCGCCCCCACCGCCGGCGTTCACCACCAGCGCCAAGATGGTGCCCCCTCAATGGGCACACCCAACCAGCGGTCTCGGGCCCTACGGCGGCGGTCCCAGCGGCATGTTCTACGGCGCCGGCGTTGGCTACCCCTACGGCTCCGGGGGCAGCATGCCCTCGACACCGACGTTCCAGGGAACGCCGTATCACTCGGCCCCTTGGAACCCCACGCACGGCGGCGCTTGGAACCAGGAGTCCTTGGTGCAGAACTTCAACACGATGGCACTCAACCCTCCGGCTCAGGCGGAGTGGTACGCCGACTCTGGTGCTGGATCACACATGTCTGCGGACGCTGGTATACTCTCCACGACCTCCCCGCCCAATTTATCTACACCTTCATCTATCATTGTGGGCAATGGCGCTTTACTTCCTGTCACAGCCATCGGATCCCGTACTTTTTCTTTTCCACATCGTAATCTAGTTCTTAATAATGTTTTGGTCTCTCCACATATCATTAAGAACTTGATTTCCATTCGTCGCTTCACCACCGACAATAATTGTTCTATTGAATTTGATCCGTTTGGTCTTTCTGTGAAGGATTTACAAACCAGGAACGTGATCGCCAGGTGCAATAGCTCTGGCGACCTCTACCCGTTCTTCTCACCAGCCACCAGCGCCACTGCACTCCTCGCTGCACCCACCTCCTTATGGCACCGTCGTCTCGGTCACCTTGGGCGTGAAGCATTGTCCCGCCTCATTAGTTCCAGTGCTATTTCCTGTAATAAAGATGACACCCATCATCTCTGTCATGCTTGTCAGCTCGGTCGCCATACTAGACTCCCGTTCAGTATTTCCACCTCTCGAGCTACAAACAATTTTGATTTAATACACTGTGATCTTTGGACATCTCCTATTGTCAGTGTGTCTGGGTATAAATATTATCTGGTCATTTTAGATGATCAATCATTCACAACTCTATCCGAAGATGGACCCCCTGTTGGTGACGCTACTCAGTACCGCAGTTTAGCAGGAGCTCTACAGTACTTGACTTTCACTCGTCCAGATATTGCGTTTGCTGTCCAGCAGATTTGCCTTTACATGCATGATCCTCGAGAGCCTCACCTTTCAGCCCTCAAGCGTATCTTGCGCTACTTGCAGGGCACTACGACACTTGGATTGACTATGTGCCGCTCTTCCCCCACAGAGCTCGTTGTCTACACCGACGCCGATTGGGCTGGTTGTCCCGACACCCGACGGTCGACTTCCGGTTACGCAGTCTTTCTCGGAGACAACCTTGTGTCATGGTCTTCCAAGCGACAGCACACAGTCTCCCGGTCCAGCGCGGAGGCTGAATACCGTGCTGTGGCGAATGGCGTCGCAGAAGCTACTTGGCTACGTCAGTTGCTCCTTGAGCTTCAGCGCCCTCCTCGCCGTGCCACTCTGGTCTATTGCGATAATGTCAGTGTTGTCTATCTCTCCAGCAATCCAGTACAGCATCAGCGGACGAAGCACGTTGAGATCGATCTCCACTTTGTTCGAGAGAAGGTTGCCCTCGGTCACGTTCGGGTTACTCATGTTCCTACAACATCACAGTACGCCGACGTCTTCACCAAGGGGCTTCCTACTTCTTTGTTTCAGGAGTTTCGGTCCAGCCTAACCGTTAGCGATGCTCCCGATTAGACTGAGGGGGAGTGTTAGCATGATGTAATTAGGCCCATGATAGTGAATGTGATTAGGCCCATGCGGTAGGCTTGTACGCCACCCTAGCTGCCTATATGTAATCCCCTGTACTCATACATGGTATATGATCAATCATTCACAACTCACACTCTCTTATATCTTGCCTCAGGTTTCTACCTTCGCTTTCTTCATAATTTCTTTCTTGTTTTACTTCTTTCTTTCTTTCTTTTTCTTTCGAATTGAGTACCTTGCGCTTTTCAGGAATAATTCCTCTTCTCCAAATGGGCGCTGAACTAACTGTTACGGGATGGTTCTTGTCTCCAATCATACGGGAGATGCAAGACTCCGCTTTGGCCTACATAAAGGGGCAATTTAGTTGGAAGAAAGATCAGGAGAAGGATCTTGAACGCCTTGACACCATCCTTACAGAGATCCTGACCATCGTGGATGTCATTGAGAAGCGGGAGATTAAGGATGGAAACCAGAGGAGGCTGCTGAGTAAACTTAAAGACGCCATTTACAGCGCTGTTGATGTGCTTGACAGCTTCCAATACTTGGTCCTGAAGTCCAAGGTCGACAGCCAATCTGCAGTGAGTCGTGTTACCTTATCTTGTATTTACTTGGGTAAACGTTTGGTTGGTACCGACAAATTCCGGTGGAAGCTAGCAGATATTTTGGAGAAACTAGGCGAGGTCAAAACGACAGCAGATACCTTACTGAAAGTAGTTAATTTTGATAATGCTACTGCAAAGTTATTGCCTGTAACACGGCTGCGGGTGACTTCCCCTTTGAAGGAAAATCACCATATATATGGCCGACGGGACGAGCTAGATAAGCTGAGAGAGATGTTGTTTGAGATAAGTGATAGTAATACACCCGGACCCAGTAATGCACCTGTACCCAGTTACTCAAGGATTAATGTTGTATCCATTGTAGGTGTTGGTGGGATTGGGAAGACTAGCCTTGCACAGTTGGCGTTCAGAGATGAGCAACTACGCATGAACTTCAGTCTCAGGATGTGGGTTTCTGTATCTGATACTTATGATGAGATTAGATTAACAAGGGACATTTTGGAGTCTTTAACTGATTCAAATTATCACACTGTTACTGAATTTGATGAATTGCGGAACGCTCTTCGTGAAAAGTTAGATGGAAAGAAATTTCTTCTCATACTGGATGATGTTTGGTATGACGAGAAAAAAACAAAATGGGAGAATGAACTACTATGGAGCAACGTCTTTAGATACTGGACTGGAAGGGTCGAAGATTTTGGTGACAACTCGAACTGACAAAGCTTGCAGTATTCTACATGCTAGGACACCCCCTTTACGTTTGGGAGAATTGGACAGAGATGATTACTGGTTGCTATTCAGAAACTATGCCTTTGGTGAGAAATATCCAGGGCAATTTCAAGGACTTAAGGAAATAGGAAGAGAGATCTGTCAGAGATTAAATGGTTTGCCTCTAGCCGCGAAGATAATTGGTCGGCTACTGAATGCTGATTTAGATGTTAGCCACTGGAAGAAAGTGCTGGAGAGTGATTTATCTGATGATGTCATGAAGGTTCTCAGATTGAGTTACCAACATTTACCTGTCCAATTGAAGCTATGCTTCAGCTTCTGCAGCCTTTTTCCAAAGAACTGGCATTTTGATCCTAAAAGGCTTACTGAAATGTGGATTGCACAGGGTTTCGTACAGAAGGAGGATTCATATGACACTGATTTGAATATCGAGGATGTAGCAAAGGGCTACTTTGATGAACTTGTGCAAAGATCATTCTTTGAGCGCTCATTGTTGGACCTTCCAACAGAGTATGTCATGCATGATTTGATCAATGACTTGGCTCGGAATGTCTCCAAGGATGAGTATATCAGGCTTGAAAATGAGAAACAGAAGGAGATCCCACCAAACATTCGCCATTTATCAATATCAGCAAATTTGTTAGGTAACATGAAGAAAGCCGAGTTGAGAAATTTGCGTACCTTGATTGTTTGGAGGAAAACATGGCCTTGCTTACAATTGTCCCTTCCAGATGATGTATTCAAGAAGTCTAAAAGCATCCGTGTACTGGACTTGAGCGGTTGTTGCCTGGAGAAGCTGCCTACATCAGTGAAAGTTCTTAAACATTTGCGCTATTTCGCTTTTCGGGTTCCTGAGAGGCCATGGCAAACATCATTGCTTCGGCTTTACCACCTCGAGGTCTTGGTCACAAGAGGACACTCCTGCCGGTATGCTGAATGTGTTAATCTTCCTGCAAACATGAAGAGGAACCTGCTCAAACTAAGAAAGGCTTTCATTTTCAATGTTGGCGGCAGCACAATATCTGGTTTTGGAGGACAAACTCTTCTCCGTGGCCATGGGGAGTTCCACGTCAGAAAGGAGAGTGGGTACAGACTAGGTGAGCTAAAGGAGATGAAAAATATCAGAGGACAGTTAAAAATTAGATCTCTTGAGAATGTTGAGCATCAGCAGGAGGCAGTTAATGCATGCCTAGATTGCAAAGAGCATATCGAATATTTGGAACTCGAGTGGAGCATACTTGCAAGGGCTTTGACATCAGATTTAGATTATGATGTGATCAGTGCCCTTAGACCTCACCCTGATCTTGAACGGCTAAAGATCATTGGATATAGAGGGACGAGGTCACCCAGTTGGTTTGAAACAAACTGGCTGACTGCATTGAGTTCTGTAATTCTTGAGAACTGCATGGGTTGGGTACAGTTGCCCCCTTTTGGTCAACTTCCTCTCCTCAAGTATCTTGAGCTGAGAGGCATGCATGCTGTCAGGCAGATAGGTCAAGAATTCTACGGGAATGGTGACATAAAGGGCTTTCCAATGTTAGAAGACATCATATTTGATGGCATGCTTAGCTGGGAAGGATGGTCCGGAATCGAAGATGGTTCTTTGCTTCCATGTCTTGAAAGACTGCACATAGAGAAGTGTCCTAAGCTTCAACAGATGCCAGCCATTAGTGCAACACCTAGAGTTGAAGTGGAAATAGCTTCTCGTCCCCCACCAATCCCTTGTTTAATTGATTCACTAATTGCAACAACTTCACAGTTGATCTTTCTAGTCAGCTCCTACAGCTTCTTAAGTGACCTGAACGGTGAGCAGCTCAGTCATGTTGCAGAGTTGCGCCTGAAGTACTGTTTAGATCCGATGCCAGATGGTGGGTTTCAGCAACTTAGCTCCCTTGAGGTGTTCCGGATTAGCGACTGTTTAACACTATTTTCATCCAATTGTACAGAAGACCAGGACACAAATTTTCTTCCGCCATCTCTTTGCCAACTTGAAATAGCTAAAAGCAATGTTCAGTCCAGTTTGTTACAGAGGTACCTGCAAGGTCTAACTTGCCTGTCCACCTTGGTGCTTGATGGTTGCAATTCTATGATCTCATTATCATTTGATTATGGACCCCACCTCCTCCCTGCTCTGGAAACAATAAACATTAGATATTGTGATGACCTAGCTTCATTAGACGGTTTTCAAAATCTTGGTGCTCTGCGAGAGTTAATTGTTGCAAACTGTTACAATTTTCGCTCCTTGCCAGCTGACTTGAATACAGTGGGATCTCTCAACAAATTAGTTATCTGTCAGTGCCCATTGATGAGGTTTCTTCCCCAAGATGGCCTGCCTGCTTCTATGCAGACTATTTTGTTATCAAATTGCGCTCCGGACCTCGACAGCGAGCTTCAAAGGAAGGAAGGTGCTGAGTGGGAAAAGATTGTTCATATCCCTGTGAAGAAATTAGAGGTATATGCTGCTTTTCATTCACTTCCCATCCAGTGGGTCCTCAGTCCTGACTTAGTGTGTTACAGGCTCTTTGATTTACATAATACTTGTTGATCTTTTGCCGATTGTGCATTCACGAAGTCACGTCATTTTATCGTTTATAGTTCTTGTTCCGTAGTTTCCAACAAAATTCAATTGGTAAAGTGGTGTGTCCTTTTACTAATATTTTACCATCTGGTCAGGTAGGGCTCGACGATTTATTGATTATATTTCCGACCAGTTCTTGCTGAGATGCCATATATTCTCTGACTAAAAGGTATGTTTTCCTGACCACCATGATGCTAGCAGCTCTTATCAATTCAACTGTTCTGTGCGGACATAGCAAATGATCTGAAGCTTTTGCTCTATTCCAGGATTGTGGACCCTTCAATGGAAATTGCCTTTGCAGTTTATCCGTTGCAATTCTACAATGAGGGGCAAAAAGAGAAGCAAATGTCTCTTCAGCTGTTCTCCATTTCTTCTGTAGCTGCTTTACTGTTATTTTTTTTATTGTGAAACTACTGTTACAGCTTTGATACCCTGCCATCCTGTAGATTACCATTGAAAGGGATTTCATATTACCATATTCTGAAACTACTATTACAGCTTTGATGCTAGCATGGCAGTTTGGTACAGAATAATTTTTCATGAATGGAGACTGGAGTGTTAGCCCTTGCGCAATACATTCTCTTTTTTTTTGGATGAAGCTGGAGGGGTTTGCACTCCTACAGGAATTTTATTAATAGAAAGTAAATAAGCATTTACAGAAACAGGTACAGGTAAAGGAGAAGCAGCAGTCTAAGAAACAAAGAAAGTCTGAAAGAAAATGAGAGAAACTACTGAAATTATAATAGATTCTGAATCCATAAGTCAAAAGGCGGCTATCTTTGCTTCTTGCTCTAACTGTCAACAGGTTGAGCTCTGAAAGAACAACTTTTCTGACAGCAGTAACCGAGGCTGGAATGTTCTTGAAAATAAGATCGTTTCTAGCTGTCCAAATTGCCCAGCACAAGAGAATTACTAAAATCATGAAGAACTGACTGCTGACCTGAGATTTAACCTCAAGAATGGCTTCAGGAAAATGTGAGTCTTGGTTCAGAAAAATGTTAAAACAACTCCAGCAGCTTCTAGCAAAAGGGCAATCAAGGAAGAGATGTGTGACTGATTCCTCTACATTGAGCTGACAAAGGACACAATTGTATGAATATAGGTACATGCTTTTTCTTCTGAGGATATTTCTTGTGCTGCCTGTCCCTAAGATGTAGCCAAAAAAAGACTTTGTGTTTTGGTTGACAAAAGCAGTTCCAGAGCCAAAGTAATCCTTCATGAATCTGTATATAGCCAATCAAGAAAGAGTATGCCTTTGAGGCTGAGAAATCTGGGCCCCAGTTCAGCTTCCATCTATCCTCTGAGTCTGTCAAATGAATTTGCTGAATTATTGCCTGAATTGCAGAAAGTTGAAAGAAGGCCTCTGTTGACAAGGGCAGGTTGAATGCATCTGATATATTTCATCAATGTCCATGAAATTGGCAACACACTAAGGAGCGAAAAGAAAAATAAAGAGCTGTCCCAGTTTTTTATTTTCTTTGGAAAACTGAGCAAAAAAACATACAAAAGTATCGCCTTTTCCTCCTAAAACATTTTGATACAAATGACCGAATCAACTGACTAAGGGAGTTTTGGCAGGGCTGTGCCCACTCGGCTCCAGCTCTGGCGTCATTGTGTGGTACTGCAGCTCCCTGGGATTTGACTTGGAGAATAGGGGCGTGTTTGTTTGCCTGGATGAGGGCCAGAGTCAGGACCAGCAGCTGTAGCGGGGCGTGTTTGTTTGCCTTGAGGCGATTTGGGCCCGGCCAGCATGCTGCTTAAAGCAGCCCAGAGCCAGGCCCTGGGGAAACGCCCGCCCCCTCCGTTTCTCCAGAGCCCGGATTGTTTCGGCCACGGCGGGATCTTTTCGGCCGTTTTGCGGGCTCAGCCTCTCGTCTCGCGCGCGACGCGGGCATATCCCCCCTCCTCCCCGCGGCTAGGGTTCGCCTCCCTTATAACCATGGCCGCCGCTCTCTCTTCCTCTCCTCCCCGCTCCTCACTCCCTCCTACTCTCCACTCTCCTCGGTGCGGTGTTTCTCACTATGAAACAGTGACCGGACGCAGGTCACATGGTGACCGGACTCACCCTCTTTGCGTCCGATCAGTGTTGTGCAGAGGAGGCGCGCAGACGATCTCTGACCGAACGCTGGTGCGAGAAGTGACCGGACTCAGGCTGAACAATGTTCAGCGTCCGGTCCTGCTGACGTGGCGGCACGTAGAGAAGAGAAGGAGGAGCGGATGCACTAGAGCGTCCGGTCGCAAATATCTGTCTCTAGATGTTTACTGGAAACGATCGGACTCCTGGCTAGGGGGCGTCGGTCCTGGACTGTGGAGCGTCCGGTCACAACTTAAGTGCGCTGATGACCGTTGATATCGGACGATCAACATTTGAAGCTGGGGACGTGTGGCGAAAATCTGAGGATCGGACGTTGGGGTCCTGCGTCCGGTCAATCCGACCGACGCGTCCGGTGGCCCCGATTTTCCAGTGGACAGAGAGCTAACGGCTCTATTCGTGGGGACTCGCTATTTAAGCCCCATGGCTGGCTCAAGCTCACTCTCTTGGTCATTTGCATTGACATAGCAACCTTGTAAGCTTAGCCAAAGCCCTCCCACTCATCTCCATCATTGATTCATCATCCTTGTGAGATTGGGAGTGAATCCAAGTGCATTGCTTGAGTGTTTGCATCTAGAGTCACTTGGTGTTCGTGTTTCGCTGCGAAATTCACTTGTTACTCTTGGTAGTTGCTGCCACCTAGATGGCTTGGAGCAGCGAGGATCGTCGATCGGAGGTTGGTGATTGTCTTCGGCTCCGATCGTGGTGATTGAAAGGGGTTCTTGACCTTTCCCCGGTGGAGAGCCAAAAGGTACTCTAGTGGATTGCTCGTAGCTTGTGTGATCCTCATCTTGTGTTGGTTGTGCGGCACCCTATTGAGGGTTTGGCGTGTGATGCCAATTAGCGCGTGAACCTCCAAGTGAGCGAATCGCCACAACGAGGACTAGCTTGCCGACAAGCAAGTGAACCTCGGTAAAAAATCTTGTGTCACCTTGTCCGAGGATTCCATTAGCTATCTTGTGATTGATTGATTGGCTCCATCTTGTGATTGGCTCATACCTCGACACGTCGGTATAATCATCGCCATTCTCTCTTGTATTACATTCCTAGTGTGTAAGCTAAGCTCTTTAGTGTAATTAGTTTTTAAGAGCTAGCTTGCGTCGGGACTCTTGGTTAGTGAGGCTCTTTAGTTAGTCTTTGAGAGCTCACTAACTTAGTGTAGTGACATAACCATTGTGTGGATAGAGACTATAGAAACTAGAATTATGGTAGGTGGCTTGCATTTTTAGTAGGCTAGCGCAACACTCGCTTCGCCTTATATTTGTCTAACCGATTTGCTAAGTGTTGTTGTAGAAATTTTGAATAGGCTATTCACCCCCCTCTAACCATTAGGACCTTTCAAATGGTATCAGAGCCGTGGTCACCGTGATTTGAGGCTTAACAACCTTCAGTGTCAAAATGGCTCAAATCAACAACACTAAGAAGCCACCCTAATTTGATGGCTCAAACTATCCCTATTGAAAGGTAAAGATGACAACACATATCAAGTCAATCAATAGAAATGTTTGGAAAGTGGTGGAGACCAAGATTGAGATAGAAGATCCAGAGATTCCCACTACCGCCGAAGAAGTACTTCTCCAAGGCAATGATATTGCTCTTAGTGTCATTCATGATGCTATTGATGAGAGAACATTTGAGCAAATCAAGAACATTGAGATGGCTTATGAGGCTTGGAAGAAGTTGGAGGAGTCATTTAAGGGCACTCAAGCGGTGAAGGGAGCCAAGGCATATATCCTCAAGGAGAAGTTTACTAGTTTTAAGATGAAGAAGGATGAGAGTGTGCCGAAGATGTTTTATAGGTTTCAAGTGCTTGTCAATGATCTCAAAGCACTTGGAGAGAAGGTGGAAGACAAGGACTTCTCCCATAAGTTCTTGATATGCCTACCCTCAAGATTTGGTACATTGGTCATTATTCTAGTGAGGAGTGATTTGGACACCATGACACCAAACCAAGTGTTAGGAGATATAATGACCGATGATACATATAGAGACGATGATGAGAAGGAAGAAAAGGAGAAGAAAGATAAGAAGAAGGATGAGAAGAAGAAGAGTGTGGCATTCAAGGCCACATCATCCAAGGGCAAGGCAAAGCAAGAATCATCAAGTGAAGATGAAGACTTGAGCTTTGATGAGATGGATGATGAGAAGATGACTCTCTTTGTCAAGAGATTTGGTAAGTTCATGATGAAGAAGGGCTACCATGCTAGAAGAAAGAAGTCTTTATCCAAGAATAAGGAAGAGTCAAGAAGGTGCTTCAATTACGGAAGCAAATATCATCTTGTTGCTCAATGCCCATACAATAGTGACAATGATGATGACAAGAAGAAGAATAAGAAGAAGGACAAGAAGAAAAAGAAAGAGAAGAAGGACAAGATGACCTTCAAGAAAAAGAAGGGTGGTTCATATGTGGCCACTTGGGATAGTGATGCGTCCTCAAGTGATGATGATGATAGTGATGATGACAAGACCATCAAGAAGAAGGCACTTGCAAGCATTGCTATCAATGAGAAGCCTTCTCTCTTCGACACTCCGTCATGCTTCATGGCTAAGGCCACTAAGGTACAAACATGTGATGATGGAAGTAATGAGGAACATGATAATGAAAATGAAAATGAAAGTGATAGTGATGAACCAACTAAGGATGAATTACTTGACATGCTAGATGATGCTAAAGAACACTTTGACATTAAGAGAAGGGAATGCAAAAGCTTGTGTAAGAAACTAAAAGCTCTTAAGGAAGCCTTTGATGAGCTCAATGCATCTCAAGAGAGGCTAGAGGAAATCCATGAGAAGCTTGGCAAGGTTCACAAGAAGCTTGAAAAAGCTCATTCCTCTTTGCTTAATGAGTAAAATAAGAAGCATGTTGAGACTTATA